CGTTATTGTCTCGGATAATGAAATCTCACGATCATAGCGTCAGTTTAGACTCGTTATATTTTTGTGAGCAGATGAAATCGACTAGTTGAAGGTTTTTACTCCACATCTACGAAGTATCGTTGAGCTCACCATAGGCGCAATACAAGATAGCTTCTATAAGGTATGGCGCATGTTACCTCAGGGGTCCTCGGATCCACCTACATTTAGGTGTCGGCGGAAGGATTGGGAGTGGCTTCACAGCTAGTTCCTGTAATTCGCGATTGTAACGCTGGTAAATTGGTCCCGAAATTGTATGAAGCGATCTTTGAAAAACTGAAAATCAACGACATCGATCAAGTGAGTTTATAAGTTTCTTCATTGTCAAGTTAATTTTAAAAATTTGCGAAGGGCTTCTCTTTTTCAATGAATCCTTTGTGTTTTGTTTAGGAGGTGAAGGAGCGTGCTATCTATGCTGCCGGTCTATATGTTGCCAATTTTGCCAACGATATGTCGTCGATGGTGGGCAGCACGAATTAAAAATTTTAAATTCTAAAAAATTTTGAGCATAATGTTTCAGGTTCCAACTACTTTGGAATTGATGGTCGAGCGCCTTCGCAATGAAATGACTCGTCTTTATGCAGTTCGTGCGCTGATAATGATAGTTGAGAGTCGCAGTACTCATGTTAACTTGTCGGAGGTAGCACCTGTCCTTCTCCCCATCATGACTGATTTTCTGAGAAAGAATTCCCGTGCATTGAGGGTACGGATGTTGTGACATCATTTTATCCACTCATTAAATTCGTATTTCAGATCGGAACGCTACATCTTTTGGAGGCATTGCTTATGAGGGATGACTTGCCTTCATTGGACTCAGATGATCTGTCACAGGTGCCTTCAGCTGTTTTTTGCGCTTGTGCATTGTAAAAATTATGCGTTGATTCTAGGCCATAGCCGAACTACCTGCTTTGATCAAGGAGTCTGATTTGCAAATCGCTCAACTTTCGCTGAAATGCATAACAGGCAAGTTTCCCATCCATGCTAGTAACCCTTGAGCTAGTATCGTTTTTGGCGGTGAAGG